CTTCTCCCTTTGAAGGACCGATGACTTCCAGCATGGTATCCGCATCGCTGATTGCCGCCTTGGGATCGCCAACTTTCAAGGCGGTCATGGCGCGATTGCTGCGAATAATAATCGTGATAGGATGCTTGTTTGGCAGCGGTGTGAGTGCCGCTGTAAAGGCCTCGTGTGCAGCGGCATAGTCGCCCCTCTTGTAGGCCTCGGCTGCTGTTTCACGCTGTCGATGCAAAGAGGAGAGGACATCTTGAGCTACTGGCGGTATAGCACGTGGTGGAGCCTTGGGCCTTGAAGGTAAAGTTGTAGATGGTGTAGATCTCCTCGGTGGTTGTGCAGGTGCAGGTGAGGGTTTCGGCCGCTGAACAGGCGCTGGCGCAGAACTTTCGAACAAGTCGACATTAGGTTCCGGGGCGGGCGATGGGGCAACGGGGCGTTTTCTCCGCGCAGGGCTGACATAGGCTTGTGCTGACTGCTCCTCCGAAGCTGTTTTCGTTAACCGGGTTCTAGGGTCTCTAGTCTCTGTCCTTGGCTGCTGTTGCATAAAAGCGGGCTGTTGCATACGCCGCTCGCTAGCCGGGGACGGCTGATGTCTAGCACCATTGCTGGTCGGACGAGATGAATGTCCGTCGGTGGATCGCATGGCATTGCGTGACGGACGAGGAGGACCGCCTGACTCTAACAGGAGCGCCTCGTCGGTCATTAATTCAGGACGGGCTTGGGGCTGGTTGGCGACGCGAGAACGATCACGAGATGGGGGTTCTTCATGCGAAGCAGCGTCTCTCAACCAGCGAGGCTGATTTGTATCATGATCAGCATTGAGTTCCTGAACCACTTGCTGCATTTTCTTGCTGCCAGTTTTCCACAGTGAGTTCGCTGTCTTAAGCAAGTTGTTTCCGAAAGTCGCTGCAAGCTGTGCCGGATCCTTCTCTGCTGGCGAAGAAGTTCGGTTATTGCTGCGCGAACGCTCCTGCTGCATCCATGAAGGTACGTCACGCCCAGGCCTTTCACTGCGATCCCGACTTCTGCTTGGTTGCTCAGTGAACCGTTCATCCGGAGTTGGTCGATTCTTGGACCTTTGACGGGACTCTTCATGCGCTTGGGTGAGAAGTAAGCTAACAGCAGCCTGGACATCAGTGCCAGATTGTGTCATTCGTAAAGCCTGGCTGGATTTGTCTGCAGGGAAGCCCATATCAACAAGCTCTGCAATTGCCCGATCCACCCCATTCGATGGCCTAGGGGGCGGCGAGTTGTTTGCTCTTTCAACAGGGGAAGGTGATTTCGCAGGGGGCTCTGGTCGGGGGATCTCAGATACAGGCTTGCCCAGTAAGCCAAGAAAGTCATCATCGTCATCACACTGCGCGGGCTGTGGGGTTTGTGCGGGTTTGGACTTCAGTTGGTTAAGGCCGAAGGGATCGTCGTCATCAGGGAAAGACATCGGGTTGGTTTGCTGCTGCAGGCCTGCATTGTTGGGAGTTACCTGCACCGAGCTCAGTCGTTGCGGCGAAGGACTGGGACTAGGCACCGGGAAGTTCGTCGATGCGTCTACCGGCGCAGACGCATTGAAAGCGGCCAGGATATCGTCCTCATCGGTCGATGTGGCACTCTGCTGAGCAGGAGTACCAGACGTAGTAAGGCCATTATTACCCCTACCCTTTTCTAAGCTATCCCAGAAATGAGTGTTCTGTCCGCCATATTGCGATTCGAATCGCGATCTGTTCTCCGCCTCCTTCCTAGCTCTCTCCTGCTCTAGCCTCTTTTGCTGCTCGAGTAATGAAAGGTTCTTATTGGCATTGGATGAGCCGAAGGAGACAAGGTTCGCAAAGCTGTCCTTGTCCGGCGTCGCGGACTTTGAAGGAGCATTCGATGGGCCAGAGGAGCCAGAGAGGGGCGTGGAACGGCCAGAAGTATCACTCTGCCTAACGGTCGGAAATAAGAGACCTGTGTTCATCGGCGGGGGCTTGCGAGTATCTGTCGATGAGCTGGAATTCCAACTCAGACCGTTGAGGTCGTCCATCGTTATTGCAGTTGTGTGAAATGTATTAGTGGAGCAGCGTCTGGAGGGATCGTATTAGGATTGTAACCGTATGCGGAGGATGTGAGGATGCCATGATCTAGATTAGCTCACCATCAACGGTCACTGGGCAGCGGAGTGAGTGGATCCAGTCGGGAGATTGAGGATTGAATTCACAGTAAGGTGCAGCCTGATTTTCGTGCAAGGAGGAGTCCATCAAAGCGTCATTTCGCCAACTAACAAAAGTCAAAGGGCGAATTGATGAGCCCGCCAACTGTTGTTTCATCAGTCGGCACTACTGTTCCCCTAAAGACGGAGGGCCGCGACCGTCGCGGTGGCTGAGGACTGCCAATGGAGCACAAGATGTGGCGGTGCATACAAGCACGTGAGGGGCTGAGGGGAGGAAGGCACGTGCTTTCAACCCCCCTGGGGCTGAGTCATCCTTCCGGACGACAGTCTTGTTGCCTTGGCCGGCAGCCTAACAAAACTTGGTTCAGTTATCCACCGCACAGTGGACCCAAATCTAGACTGTTATTCCCGATGTGATTACTATTATCTCAGACTTCTGGCGGCCGAACGGGACCTATGAACTTGAATCTGCAGGTTTTGCGACGATGGGCATCTCCAAGCTGGCCTGTGAGCACTAGTACATTTTAAGATAGATTGTCACACCCAGTTTTGGAAGAAAAGCACACTATGGATGTCTCTCAGTGCTATTGCAGCTAAGCAATGTGGTGTGGTCTTATGCTTAAGGCAGGTGAATTACAGTGGGCAAGTTCGACGATCTAGCTTTCATGATCGAGTCTCTAGCTATTCATTACTTTTGCCTACCTGTCTCGCTTCTTTTGACGCCCCGTCTACAGGCTGTAGTTCGGCTGGCTTCTGTGGGCACCAATGTCAGTCGCCTTTGCACACGGATCCATCCTGGATACGCGGCAATTCTCTATGGGGATGTGGAAACGATGGCCAGTGAGTATTGCGTAGTGACCACTAACACACAGTAAGTTTTTAGACTTCCGAGGTTTGCCCATGGTAGTGACTGGACCGGGCGCTCTGGGAGAATGGGGCCCGGTGGCCCTCGGGGGGCTTGCCAACGACGAAATTAAGAGGCGAGACTTTTCAGTGTTAAGCGAGCGGGACGGAGATTCGAGGCTCAAGAATAGTAGCTAGATGCGAGTAGGGGAATTCCGAAGGATGATGGGCCTGACAATCTGAAGAGCAGTTTCATGATGATTAGTTATTACTTCCAGGAAATAGCGTAAACAAACAAGGTCATCCTGGGCCCCGCACCGGAAAACAGGTCCTTGACAGAGCCTTTATCTTTGCAAAAAAAGGAAAGAGCGAACAAAAAGGAAAACATTCGCGGGTGTTATCGAAAGGGTTCCTACAGTAGTGGGATCAGGGCAGCCACGGTTGTTCACCAATTGGCGAAACATTACTTTACGGCAAACAGCCATGTCAGCACTCAACAAGCGTCTAGGAATCCCCGACGGGATGAACTCCATTTCCCACTACCAATCGCTGTGGCTGACAGCGGGGGCCTGACAGGGATGCGCGATAGTGTCAAGGGAGCATCGGGAATTACTCCAATACCGACTAAGCGGGGTGGTCAGGACGGAGCAGGCGATCACCACGTCTGACAGGAGGGAAAGACAGGTGGTCTTATTGTTTCTCTGAATTCCAGTCAGCCCTCCTCGGGTATAGTATTGGTCTAGCATAACATGATCTGAGGCGCAAGATCTTCTCCAATAATATGTTCCAGGGCTCTTTAGTAAGGCTGGTAGACAACCATTGCGAATGTTGCCAGTAACACGAACGGGTGTTGTTCATTGAAGTCGTTAAATGAGAGCAGCGCACACATGTAAACGCAAGAGGGGGGCCACACGGCATCTCCGCTGGAAGGTATGTTGGTGGCGGAATTTCGGGGGAATTGAATGGTGCGGTACTGGTAGGGCGGGTAGTCAGTAACTAGGCAAAGATGACAAGATTAGTAGTCGCACTAAGGAGTCATGTCAGTCGCTTCACTAGCATCGGGTCTGTTGCCAGTAGCCGCCGTTGGGATTACGGGCCATTTCAATGGACCTCTCCAGACCCAAAGGTAAAAGCTCGGACTAGTCCGAGTCGTCCTATCTCCTGACCAAGTTACACCAGCGATGGATGAGCGATTCTTTGGTCTCTTCAGATATGGTTATATCACAATGGTCATGGTGTCGTTGGCTCATTACGGCCTCGAAAATTAAAATACCCGGAACGTTAAACTTGAAACCCGAGCGACCCAGCAGTATGGCCAGGGCCGTGTTTTCCGCGTTAGCGGGTACGCCAGTGCATTGACATTTGTCATTTTTGGAGGGGAAGAAGGGAGGGGCTTGCAGCAACAGTGCATATCGACTAATACAAGGGTTTACTGTGTATCATCATTGCCTCTTCCCCCTCCCAAAAGTACAGGGTGCGCGGAGTCGTTCGGATAAAACCTTCCCAAACACATACAAGCTCCCCCAATTAGCACTATCAGTATCGTATGATATTATACCCCAGTAGTACTCCTGAGATGCTTATGGCTAGTAACCACACCATGCCTATATCGGGGGAACCTCAAAATTTGGCGACACTTCCCACTTATTGTATCCTAAGCTAGTATAGGCGCCTTCTTTGCACAACACATGCAGCTCGTGATACCAAGTCTCTACTGCACTAGATCCACTCGAACCATGAGATGTGATAATTATTGCCAATAGCAAGGCCTATGGGAGCCACAATGGTCTCAATGGAACAGTCATAAGTTCAAGGAATATACCTACAAGGCGTCGACCTTTCTGGGGTTCGACTAGCTGCAGAGTTCATCAGCCAAGGAACCCCAGTACATGTGCCAGCTGCCAGTCTGAAACGGTAACAGTAACACGTATCTAAAATGACACCGCGGTATATACCATACCAGTATAAGACGAAGTGGTCAGGGCAATCTTACTTAGGCCAGACACGGTCGCTCTCGCGACATCATTTATTGAAAGACTACAGATGCGCGACATCGGGGATGCGGAGGCTTTTTGGAGGGGCAAGAAGCCGAACTTTATGCTGAAGAGGATTCTTCCGGCCGAACTCAAAATCACAAATGGCTGGTTTGATCCGTATCTCCGCTGTGGTACTTCTTCATAGGTGTGATAAAGATCGACTCGAGGGAATATGCAACATGGAATTCTAAAGGGGAAAACAAAAACGCCTGTAACCTCAGATAATATTGAACTCCTTCACGCGACAGCATGGGTATGATCGGCACAATCATGCCTATATCTCGTACGCATCCAAGAGCTGTCAAAAGGAGGTTTCTGGGCGATAGGACTAGCTTCTGCACAAAGTAACGTGTAGATGATGTTCGTAGTTAGGCTCAATCCGTGTCTCATAGAAGTGTTTCACTTGCTTTCTGACAAGCTATGTTAACCTAAGAAGGTACTCAACATCGGCTGCTGCTTCCTATTCTGTGGGGAACCTACCGACTGTGTAAGGTATCCAAGCCCATCTCTTCTTACAGCTGCTATCAATGATCACCATCCCGCTCTACATTTCCAATAGGGTTGTCGGAAAGTGGGCTCAACACGAGCGCGAAGCTCAAAAAAACATTATCCCGCCCTAGCGCGCTGACTGCCGACCAATGTGTTTTACAAAAGCAAAGATGACATGCGGGTAGCTATAGAAAAGCAACCTATACGTATTGGGTTACGAAGCTCATCGGACGTGACCCATGTGAAATCGCAGTGTTGGTAAATCGAACCAGGGGTTTAGTATTTCGCACTTATAGTTGACAAGAACGTGAAATGTATCCCAGACCTGCGGCACTTCCTGGCCACGATTACCTCTTTGCGATCTTCTCCAGCCAAACTAGTGATACATTCTGCACCTGACATGCCTGAGAGAGACTAGAAACCATTTCCCTTCGGATTATTCGCTACTAGTTCGAATATTCTGGTGTGGACGATCCTGCCGGATTGAGATCGACACGGCAATAGTTGCGTGCCCGCGTACGATTCAAGCCAAGGTCCACCTGAACCATAAATGCGCGTATCGGCAACTTCCCTTCCTCTCGGGAGTCGCACACTTGATGAAAATAGGGCTGCCGATCTAAAAAGGGCCAATTCTTCGCATACTGCTGGTCGTGCTCCTTACTGCAAATTTGCTAAACCCGGAAGTTGTAGGTGGCAGTAGGTGCCGAGACGAAAGTCAGGTCAACCGCAGCGCGATTGGCACGAGTAGTTGATCTTCTGCCTGAAGCATGATCGGCCTTCGGCTCGTTTTGGGATCTTCAGTTCTCCAGTTGTGCACTATAGGGTCACCAACAGTCATAACGCCCCAGCTACAGTCTGACTATCACATCTGTTGGAAAAAGACGCGAGGCGGTTATCTGACAAAAACAGCCTTACTGTTACTGACTCTACGTCGTGCTTACTATTTGGAATATACTATGCTTCACAACGCCCGATTCCACTCTTGTGGCGCAGCAGTAAGTAACCTAGTTAATATACTTCTTTACTAATACTTTCCATACTTAGCACCTATACGTGGCATCAAACCAGAAGCCAAATATAGCAATTGCCAGAGCAATTGGCAATGTGAACACTATCTACACTCTAGTTTCAATTGCCTCTCTCTCTCTCTCTCTCTCCGAACTTGCCACCGCCTGTGGATCAGGATTGCGTTAGCATAGCAAAACGGTATGGAGGCAAGGCTGCAGCGAGGCTAATTCCTCCTGAACTGAAACATCGACATGCACGTATAAGGTGGACTATGCCGACTATGCCGAGGCTATAGTCAATATGGGGTGATAGTAGCTAGATAGACGCGGCGTAAGCTCAACACCCCTGAAGTAGATAGAAAACAGGAATCACACGCCATCAGATCGGAGATATTCCCCAGATAAGCGGGAGCATCGCACTATAACAGCCAACATTGCGCCTGAGCAGTGACTATTGGCCCTGCACACCATTACCACGATTGTGCCGAGTATCAGTGCACTTCGACAGAAGATAGCTAGCTAGGAGTGGACATTGAAGAAGGTGGAGAGCTTGACTGATACCCGCTGCTGACCTAGGTTGCCAAGGGGAGGAAGGGGGGGTTGGCGCTCGGTCAATATTCACAAATATGGATGGATGGAGTATATCCTATCTATCTACCTGGTGCCCTCGTTAGCATTGATTCGAGTCATATCTTGGTTTCCCTTCCCCTCTATCTTTGGGCTACAGGCGGAGGAGCCATGGTTCCATAGGAGGGACATGTCCCGATTCGGTGAAATGCTGGAGGCGCAGAGTGACTAACAGCCAGCTAGATCCGCCGTGTCGGGGCGAGGAGAGGGGGGCAGAGCAAATGAACCTGGTATAGCCTTGTGCGCAGGCTTGTCTGTGCTCCTCTTTTTCTTTTTCGGTCCTCGCTAATTTAACCTATTTTTCAATTGGTTCCATCGATCTGGACACAGCATCCCTTGGTCGGCCGTAGCACCGAGGAGGAAGTTGATGGGTGAGTTTAGGGGGAGGTGCTAAAGTAGCCGTCCAAGACCCGTTGGAACTGCTCCATTCTGGGAAATTTGCACTTTACCAGACACGGGGCCAGTTATGGGCTCCCTCCCCCACCATCACCGGGACCAGGTACCGGTCTGGTACCGTGCGGTATGGTAATGCGTGCGTATGGATGGGTCGGGTTGGGTTTATCATGCATGCACCATCATGCACCTACATGCTTAGGGCACATCAGACATCAACTAGTTAGATGCATCTTCCACTCTTCCAACTGGTCTGATATTCTCTGACCTCATCACTGGCGTCGGGGCGATTGCGACGCGGACTGAATACTCCGCGGTAGTCTTGGTCCCTTGGCCCTGAGTTCAGCCCTTCTCCCCTAGGAACGGACTGACTGACTCTAGACACGACCTAAGGCATGGGATGGATGGTCGAATTCTGTAGCCTATCAGTATCTTATGGGATTATCGCCGTTAAACCTATATGTGGCCATTATACTTGTTTACTACTGGCTCCATTATTGTTCTTCTCTCTCCTTTTACTTTGTACCTGACAGGGACTACTTACTCTTGGGTGAAATACCAGGTACTGGTGGAAAGTCAGTTCTTTTCAACCCACTACATTTCCAGTAGTATTGACGACCGTGGGAACGGTAAACAATGGTACGAATCGGTTCCTATCAGAACGCTAAATCGGCCAACCCGCCATGCACCCTTTTTAACATCGAACTGGAGCCTTTCCGACAAGGCCTCTGCCCCCCTCAAGCTCTCCACCTCCCGACTCCGAGGGCTCGACTAGTTCACTGGGTACTGGGTGTATGCTCCGTGAAGGTCCAGTGGCTACTGACCACTCCTTTTCGCTCCAATGATGTCTTGCTAGTTGGGCTGCTAACTTTCCTAACCTTTCCTAACTTCTCCTAAGCTCTCTCGCCCGCCCCGCCCCGTATTATTCCTGTTATTATTATTTCTTGTCCTTATTATTAGTATTATTGTCCCTCCATGGTGTAAAGAAAAAAAAAAAGTTTTAGGCCCAAAAGGATTGAAAAGGGCCAAAAAAATTACAGAAGGTAGAAAAATAAAAATAATAACAAACAGAAAATTAAAAAAAGAGAAGAGTCAGACTAAAGAATCAAAACCGAAGTCACCCACCAGGGCCTCTTCTTCTTTTTCTTCTTCGAGTCTCCCGCAACTGCCGCAGATCACCATCCTTTTATGTACCTTTTCCCCTCTGGTGTCCATTTTTCCGGTCTGCGTTTCTTCTGGCACCAGGGCCTCTCATCTGTCTTTCTTTTTTTCTCCCTTCCCTTTCCTCCTCGAGTGTTCCACCTTACTGTCAATCCCCTGGCACGAACAAGTGTTCTTTCTATCCCCTGAGCGCTAGGGAGCGTTTGTTGTGTTTCACCCTCCGACTCTACTATTGAACCCCCCCTCGTCACCATGGGTCTCTTCAAGCGCAAAGACTCCAAGAACTCGATTCAGAGCGAGAAGGAGGATTTCGACTCGACCGTAACCGTTAACAGTGCTCGTACTTCAAATGCATCATTGAGATCGCCCGGTTACAAGGGGAGTGGGCTGCCTGCCTCCATTCCAGAACTACCGATTGCCAAACCACCTGATCCGGCCCTCGATCCAGCGGCCTACCTGCGGAGTATCCATGCTGTCCGCGAACGCTGCAGCCTTGTTTTGAACAAGGCCAAGAGGAACAGGCTCAACCACTTTGATGTGGATATGGGCAAATTCATGGCTACTGCATCCTATATTGTCTCCATTATCAAGGTACATACTATATGCTACAGCCCTCTCGGCCAAAAGATTAGCCGTTTTCTTCATTCTCCCTGAGGTTCGCTAATGAAGCTTTCATTTACAGAGAGATTATGGCCCGGACTACGACTCCATTCCTCCTCATGGCCGTTGGCAGCACTTCGACGTGGGTGGACGACCTCGTGTTAACCAATTGCTTCAGTCTTGGCCCAGTACCATCGATGCGCAAGAACGTACTCGGCGATTGATCGACCTTTTCGTTGTTTCCGTCCTTCTCGATGCTGGTGCAGGTACCAGATGGTCATACAAGTCGAAGGAGTCCGGCAAGATCTTTTCGCGGAGCGAGGGTCTGGCCGTGGCAACCTTGGAAATGTTCAAGAGCGGTTTGTTCAGCAGCGATCCGACAGAGCCTTGTCAAGTGGATGGGGCAGGCCTGAAGAAGATTACGGTGGAAGTACTGGCAAAGGGAATGCAGCACTCCGAGACCAACCCCTTGGCGGGAATTGAAGGCCGAGCTGGTCTTCTGATCCGACTTTCCGAGGCCTTGAACAACCAGGATTTCTTTGGGGTAGACGCTAGGCCAGGCAACATGCTCGGTAAGGCTTTATTTGGTGGAGGCTTGCTGGGATTTTTTACTAACATAACATCGTTAGATTACCTCCTTTCTCACCCGTCAACCCTTGCTTCCTCGGTTCCAATTGTACCCATCACCACGCTATGGAGTGTTCTTATGGATGGCTTGTCTCCCATCTGGCCGCCATCCCGAACACAGATTGATGGGCTTTCTATTGGAGACGCTTGGCCGTGCTCCGATCTCCCTAAGTCTCCCCCGGCAAAACCCTGGGAGAGCATCGTCCCATTCCACAAGCTTACGCAGTGGCTGTGCTACTCTATCATGGTTCCCATGTCCAAACTTATGAAGATCCATTTCGCCGGCAGTGAACTGCTCACGGGTCTACCTGAATACCGGAACGGTGGTCTGCTGATTGACATGGGGCTGTTGACTTTGAAGGAGCAAGATCTGGAGCGGGGTATTGCCGCATACAAGGAGAATGCGCAGATCAAGGGCCAACCCAACGTGGAAGTTGTGCCTCTCTTCTCCACGGATGACGACGTTGTCGTTGAATGGCGGGCTGTTACCGTTGGGTTCCTGGACGAGCTACTGGATGAAGTGAACGGTCAGCTTGGACTGACGGGCGACGACCAATTGACCCTCGCACAGATGCTTGAGGCTGGATCTTGGAAGGTATGTGATACTTTCGGCGCTCGGTGTTTTATGTGGGCGACATTTGCTAACGCAGGAGTAACAGGGTGGCCGCGAGATTGCCGAAGTGTCGAGACCCAACACGAAAGAACCTCCGATCATGATCCGTTCCGATGGCACTGTTTTCTAATGATCGCATATCTGTTGATGTTTTGGATACCTGACACCGCCAGTCGACGCCCGTTCCACGGCTGGTGGTCGTGCTTACGACTTTGATGACCGGATGTTTATGCGTCTTTACTACTTTCGTGCCCATCGCCTGTGGCCCACCCTTTTTCTGTTCGTTTTGTACAAAGGTCTCTGCTGCGGCACCTGGCCGACTTTATACCTAATTTCTTTCTGTAGGATCATCGTGATAAGATGATCGTCTACCTTTCCTGTACACAGTTCCTTGGGCCCTTTTTACCTTCTTGCCTATATTTGGATGGAAATGTGACCATAAAAGTTTACATGGCTGGGATTAGTCTTTCCGCCAACAGTCTAAAGTCCTGACTATTTTCCTTTTTGAAAAGGAATTATTATGGGGATAGTGTCTCTGCTAGTTTGATAATATTTGGGTTCTAGTTAATCCACTATGGATGAAGTGGAGCCTGATGATTGGCAAACCCCCCTTCCGTGCAGAAAGTCTAACAACAATGGAGGCACATGGGAGGAATGTGGATGAACGCCACCTCCGTCGACCAATTTCCAAGGCAGGAGGAAGGAGATGGATAGTCTCGGTGAGAGAGAGAGAGAGAGACAGACATACTTTTCCATCATGCATCCCATCCCCATGTCAGCAGCCCTGGGGTGGACCGTGCTTTCTCCACGTGATGGAATCGGAATATTATTGATCCCGGCGAAGCTCATGCAATGACGCCCGGAAGGCTGGTCATCCGGTTGCTGCTGCTCTCTGTCCAACCACCCTCGCCCATTCATTGCCTGTGGAGATCGCTACCTCCCTCGACTTGCAGGGTCCTACTGCATCCCATGGGCTGGAGGTATTTATGCGGATGCTAAATCCCACATCTTTTCCACGGTTGCCATCCATCTGAACGATCACCAGCCCCGTAAGTGCGGGGTACGGTTAACGGATAGCTCCGGGGAACTGCCAGAATGGATATGCGCAAGAAGAAGAGAAAGGTCCTCTTGATGGGCAAAAGTGGATCGGGAAAATCGTCTATGCGCTCAATTATCTTCAGCAATTATGTTGCGAAAGATGTCCGACGCCTGGGTGCTACCATTGATGTCGAGCACAGCCATGTCAAGTTCATGGGGAACCTCACGCTGAACCTCTGGGATTGCGGAGGGTAAGTCGCAGTCTCAGGCATTTCTCGAAACATTCCAGTGTCTAACCCAATGTGCTCTTTTACCATAAACAGACAGGATGCATTCATGGAAACATATCTCGCGTCTCAGCGAGGGAACATCTTCTCCGACGTCGCGGTCCTGATCTACGTCTTCGACATTGAATCCCGCGAGGTCGAGCGCGATCTTGACACCTACAACGCGATCATCAACGCCCTGAAAGAATACAGTCCCAATGCCTACGTATTCTGTCTTGTGCATAAGCTGGATCTCATCCAGGCCGAGCACCGCCAACGCATTTACGAGGAACGGTCGGCCTTGATCCGCAGTCGTTCGGAGCATTTCAGTATCGACACCTTTGGCAGTAGTATCTGGGATCAATCGCTCTACAAAGCGTGGGCCGGCATCGTCCACAAACTTATTCCAAATCTGACTGTCATTGAGCGCTTCCTGCAAGCCTTCGCCAAGCGAATTGATGCCGAGGAGGTCATTCTGTTCGAACGGTCGACCTTCCTCACCGTTACTTCCGTTTCCTCAGAAGTAGGCGACATGAACCCCATCTACGATCGCCATGAACGTCTCTCCAACATCATGAAAGCCTTCAAGCACTGTGCGGCCCGAAACACTCATACAACCCCTGCATCTGCCGGTTTCGTTGTCATGCACACCAAGACTCCGCAGTTCAATGTCTTCCTCGGCCGTTTCACAGACAACACATACATTTTTCTGGTTGTGCCGCCTGGCGAAGCAGCCTACAACTGCGCCGTTCTCAACACCATGCTAGCTCGCGAGGGCTTCTCCAAAGCCGCCGCAACCGGTCACGGGGACGGGTTTCCCCTCCCTGCGGCTGAATCCCCGGACAACAGCAACGGGACCCATTGATTTGACTACTCAACCGGCCGCCAACGGCCATCCCTCAAATCAGCCAAGCACTTTACCGAGTATGAAACGAAAAAGGACCTGCACGCCTTATGACAAGAAAAAGAAAACAGCTTCTTACTTCACTACAACAACCAATCAATCACCTATTAGCCAGCGTCGTCACACACGGCATTCTAGCCTACGAAAGCTATGAGCAGAAAAAATGTGTGGAAAGTACGTAATGCAAAACGAAAACAAACCTGTTTTATTAAAAGACAAAGATACCCTACTTAGCATGCATGGCATTCTATATGTATGTATACTGTTCTTTCTTCTCTCTCTCAAACTCACCATATCATATTATATCATACCATACCATACCATACCATATCGATCTTATCTTTTCCAAACTCTCTCTCCTTATCCAGTTCCATACTTTCTTCTCATTCTGTAACATGCCGATTGACTATGTTTCTGGTCATTGTGTTTCACGGCTGGTAAAAGTTATTGTCTTCATTTGTTATGACTTTCTCCACTCATTCGCCCATATCTGTTGGTTCTATATTGCACGGTCATTATACCTGTATGTTGGAAAAAAAAGACGATGAAGAAAGACGAAGAGGACAGTGATGGAAGCGACTATGCCATACATTGTATGATCGTGAATTAGCGGAAGAAAAATACAGTATACTATGATTACTACCAATAGTAAATAGAAAGTATTTGATGTGGTTTGAAGTAATATTACCAAGTAGCCAACAATGTTTCAATACATTAATACCGGATAAGTGCGTAGAAATCTATAAGGCAATGGCGAGGTTTCTAGATTTGCTTGTCACGGTCACATGCCTGAGGCCTACTACTGACTACTTAGTATTTACCTATTCGTCTATATAGTCCGGGAAAGACTACCAGTTGCACCACTACATTCAGTCAGTCGAGGATCATGTGCTAGTGCATCAAATCTGTACGAGGAGTACACTCCATCAATAGATGAATGATCCATGCTTGATGCAAAGAAAAAGAGAGAAAGTATATCTATTGAATGAAACTAAAGAAGAAACACGCTTTACATCATTGTACATCTGGCATGCGGACAGCAATGTCGCCTGATTGTGTTATATATCGCACCCATGGGAGGGAGGGGTATTGTAGCTGCATTCATCGGGTCATTCGTTAGCATCCATTGCATTGCATTGTGCTTGTGCGACAAGGCTTCCAATCCAACTGATGGTGGGTTGTTGAAGGGAAGGGAGTTGACATGGAATTATGGACATACCTTAGGTTCCGTGATCTTCAAGTACCGGACTTGGATACCGCTAGTAGTGAAGTAAGGGATTTCGAATTTGACGTTGATCGGCCGTTTTGCCTTGCCCTGCCCAGTTCCACCCATGCTACCTCCGAAACCGCCGGTCATGCCACCGCCGTGCTCGTCGTCGCCCTTTACGGACGGCAGACCCAGCTCTGCGCGCATGAGGAACTCCTTGCCTCCGCCGAACTGCTTGATCTTCCAGATGATGGCGGATTTCTCAGGCGCGTAGTGCACGGTTCCGATGTTGGTGCGGAAACGGGGTGAGTCGGCATCTTCTGGGACTGGGACGAGGATCTCTACGTTGTTGGCAGTGCTGCGGCGCTTGAATTGGGCCTTGGCCTGTTTGGGAGGAGTGACGTTAGCTTGATGGTTTGTCTCTCTAGTATTATAGGCAGGGAGTTGGGCCGCACCTTCAACATGTACTCCATGCGCGAACCAGAGTGCGACTCCACCAGACATTCCACCCAAATCAGAGGCTTGACTTGGGTGTTCAACCGGTAGCTCATCAGCTCGAACTCGCCATCCGGGGGAATGAAGCTGATGGTGCGGTCATTCTCGAACCGAGAAAGTCGGACACACTGATGGAACTTGACGTCCTCCATCTCGACGGCCTTTCCTCTTGTTGCGCGACCCGTGGTTTCGAACATGACCTTGTCGTTCAAGCCCAGACGAAGCTCCGGCATACCACTCAGATAACACTTCATCTTGATAGCTCCGAGAATCTCCGATCGCAACACGTTACCAGACGCGGACACGAGGAGGTTAAGGGACTCCACAACATCAAGGAAGACTTCGTTCTTGCGGTACCGGATACCCTCACTTCGCCATGACACGGCATTGGTGACAGCAATGGGTGGTCGGGCTTGGATCTCCAGCTTGTGTGATTCTTGGGTAATGTATCTGCCACGGAATCGTCAGCTGTGGTCCTCCATTACTCGTAGTCGCAAAGACGGGTCCGTCATACTCTTGCAATATCTTGCTCTCCGTCGTCTGCGGGTAGCCAAAGTCCATCATCTCATCGAGCAATTCATAGATGATGACAAAGTTATCGCGGATACTCTCCTCCTCCAGTACTTTGAAGTATTCCGTGAATACCTCCACGATCTTGTGCAGGAAAAGGAGGATCTCGGTGGCATTGGTGTTCTTCTTAGTCAGGGCAAGAATGTAAAGGTTGCTGTGACGGATGTAGAGGTACTAGGTAAGGCGGAATTCTCAGCAATTGACCTCCATGATTCTGGGTTCCTTTCTGGGTATGCGCGCAGGGCTGATGTGGGAGATGGTAGACACAGCGGGTTGCGGGGAACGGCGGGGGGAGGTGCAGGTGCGCCGCCGCAGCCACGAGTCGGAGACACAAATACGTACGTTAATTCCTTCGTGGGAAAAGCACGGAGCCACGGCGGAGCTCTCTTCTTCGGCGTCACTGAGTAGGATGGGGAATTTCTCGACGGCGGACATGGGGATGTCTCCGCGGTAGTTTCGGGCTAGAAGGGTCTAAATAAACGGTCAGGTTCCAGGGGATCACGGCGGAATTGTTCATGACAGCGCAACCTCCACGGGGGTTCATACCTTGCCCTTGAGATCGAGGAAGAAGATGGCCGACGCCATCGCGCAGGGATTCGAAGGGAGGTCGTGGGTGGAAAAGTGAGGTGGAGGTTAAAAGGCGCGAGGATCGAGGAGGTGAGTCGGGCAGGTACTGGAGGACTAAATGGGCGGGAGGCTCCTGGGCGAGATTCAACGGGAGAGGCCAGCGAAACCACTAGTTCAACATGCTGGACTTGCGGGGAGGTAGCTGCGGACAGTTGTGCATCAGAGACAGCTCAAGAGAAACATTAAACTGGGGAAATTGTAGAAAACCGGAGCCGGAGAACTCACAGGAAGCAGCAGAAGGGGAGGTCTTGGCCGATGTGCCTGCGATGAAGCTGGAATGGAACGAATATCATGCGAGACTGACTGATGATGCGGCCATCGGGGATGCTCTGCCTTTCCGCGTGGTATTGTTCCGTACACAATACACCGCCAGACAAAGAGCTTGTTGCGGGGTAACTTACCTTGACCTGGTCACAGTGGTGTATGTAAGTGTATCAATGCCTCAGGGGTCTTTGATCAGAGCGCTAATCCTATTCGAGATATCCGGCCAGTCCAGATCTCCACTAGGCCTGATGGAGCCTAGCGCTGGTCACGCGCGCAGAATATATTTCGGCCGTCGCAAGCGAATTCTCTTCCTCTTCTTTTCTTTTCTTTCTTTGTACCATACGCCCTTATAAGACAGTGCAAGGCAGCTCAAATTGCTTTTTGTGATTTCTGGGTCCTTCCGTGACATTCTGTCGTGGAGTTCCTGGTTTCTCATTGCTGACTTGCGATACCAAGGTGCGAAGACTATGCATCGTGTATTCGAGGGTTCCATAAGAGCTGGCCGGGTATTTTGCTTACTGTTACCCGGGCGGTGTCAGAGGAACCGTACATACTTTTTGATATCTACTATATTTGTTAAAATTAATAATGGCATGCTGTGTGAATTGATTCCCAAAGAACCAAAAGTATACTTGTAACAAACGTAAGAGAGAAGACAGAACTTCCGGTGGTATTTGCAGTCACTATATAAGACAAGTCGTAGATAAAAATACATAATATATGGCGGATGAAGAAAAAGCCCCAACACATACACAAAACATCCAGGGCACAAAGAAACAAGGGGAAGGTGAAAAGAGAAAAAGGAAGTAACGCCTTGAAAATGCACCTGCGGCCATTTCCCATAAATCAATCACCCAAATCAAGCCGCGATCTTGAATCCCAGAGGTGCTAATATGCGCTCACGGGCCACCTTGTTCGCAACAGCATTGCCCTTCTCCAGGGAGATGGCACCGATCACAGCGTACATCGTGTGGGCGAGAACGAGGTCCATTCCAGAGCTTTCGAGGTTGTTGGGCTACACGTAAACACGCCGCTGTTAGCAGGAAATCCAATCTGACCAACTCACAAGACAATATCAAAAGCCCAGCAGCGCAAGGCGTCCGAATGTCGTCTTAATGCACGGGAACCGTAGACTCACCTTCCGAGGGCACCATCTCACAACTCTCTGCATGTCATACTTGTGAGCAAGTTCCGACAGCTTCGTCTTGCTCGTAAGGAAGCTCTTCGTGTTGTAGTCGAGGTTGTCCAGGCTATCCAAAGCCGGGTGAGTGAAGGGGACCCGGCCATACGCATCGGGGGTGGCAGGGTTAGCAGCGTTGCTAGGACTCTGGACCAAAGCCAACGAAGCCTGCAGCTGAACAATACGCTTGCCTGTGTACAACCCCATCCGCATTAGTATCCAATCCCGTTACCATTCATTGCACAGCAACACTTGACATACCCAGGAAGGCCAAACGGTCATTGAAACCTCTCCGGCCCTGATCAAAACTCTTGTGTGTCACTGCGAGCCACTTGGTTTCCTCCGAGAGCATCTTGTCGCCGTCGTTTCCGAGCATGAGGATGTAGAACCGGTCCAGAACCTTGGGATCTGAATTCACGGGGAACTCGGGGCGGTTGGAGTTGAGTCTCAAGGAGAACGGCGCTTTGGCACGAGGCGGCGTGTACGACCACCGGGGCTTGTCTGCATGGTTGACTGCTGCATCTTCGGTGGCCGTCGAGAGTCCTCGCCGCGGAAGGAGACCGGCTGCGATGGAGTTGGGACGAGCGAGGGAGCGGCATGCGGAGCAGGAGGCGGTCCTGACCGCGCGAGTCGATAGTACGGAAGCCATTGGATAGAGGAAGGGCCAGAATTCGGAGTGTTGGGTAAAAGGGAAGAGGTCGCCAGGCCGGGTCTTTTTCCACGATCGATGGCGGCCATCAATAATAATTCCTTTGGAGGAGGAAGAATTCGGAGACGTGGCGCTAGTCCCGATCGGGATAGCCGCTCAGTTCTCCGGTTCGCCGGCCAAATCTGTAGTTTCGACGATGGATAGAGAACCACACGCTGGAACCAATCTCGTTTTCCATCTACGAAGGTTACTTCAGTACCACTACTTGTGTTTCATCGATCAGGCATCTTTGCCTACGAGTTACTACTCGGAGCCCATCCCCATTCTATCCGGTTGCGCTCGAGCCATCAACACCTCAGCCGTATGGATCTAGAACAAGAACATTGCTTCACAAAATATGGAACTGGCGGGAATGTGTAGGCTAATTGTTGTACGGGAGGCCCATGCAACTCCTTTTATATCATTCAAGACCAACTATCAGTTGTCGGTGACGAGTGTCGCCGGGAGATACGGAAAAATACATGCCACCAACTGCCAAACTTGACTTCCGCAGTGACTTCCCCAAGAGCAACAGTGTGCACTGTAAGCCAAATGCAAGAATACACCATATTAAGTGAGCAAGACTGTTGGCGGTTAAGCCGTGCCTCATGGGAAGCGCGCCAGCCAAAAGCACATTTGCCGTCTGGGCTCCCGTTGTACAGCTCGCGGGAATCAGCCAGAAAAGTACTAAATGACTAACAATTTCCATAATGCTTCTATTCAGAAAGGAGCCGCTGATCTGTAGGTACCTGACCATAACTTGCGGCACGTATTTCTACACCGCAACGTTGAGCGGCAACTAGTATCCCTTCATATCCTTGTCAGCATGCGTGACATGCAAGCGCTAGAGACCCGGCCGATGGTACTTATGTGCAATTGTTGTAGCACTTGTGTTCCGCCAATCCCCGAATATTGTGTGCATCATGTCACTCAAAACTGTGGTATGTCTGAGCGTAAAATCAGCACATACTTCACTCGGCAGTTGTTCCATGAACCAATGAACCAAGTTGCCGCTATACAGTGATGCAGTGAAGTATCAGACGGTATCGGCGATATTAGGACGGATGTTGAGCATCTCACGCTGCTTGAGAACCATAAGGGCATGTGAAATTAAGATGGCATAAGCTTAAGGTACGTATCACGCCTCTGAAACTTGGCAATGAGGGCCATGTACCCACAGTCTGACTTTCAAGACTATCCTTGTGGTCATTCTATGGCATTAGGGCTGGAATTCAAACAAAGACAGTAAATTCTTCTCATGCAAAACGGGGTTGAGATACCCTTTACTCTCTGAATTCTTTCCGTAAAAGGTCGCTCAGACCGTTGTGCTCAGTCTTTTGCTGGATCTAGCCTGCTGCTGCGCTTACCCACAAGCCTCCGATTGTGTCTAGAGTGGCATATTGTAAGGATGGTACGTGTCAATTGCGGCAAGACACCAGTTACTAAAGCAATGCATCGTGCCTCAATGCGTCGCTTTGCGGTCGTTGGCAGGAACTCATTGAGCATCCGATTCGACGCACTGCTTGCCGCGGGGAGGCAGTCTAATGCAGTCCCTGCAACAAACAGGGCTATTCCCCCGCTTTCCTGAATCTTCAACATACTCCAAGTGGCACAAGGCTCAGTAATTGATCCACGTGCTTACTGCAGTGTGCCTTGTATTCCACTTCCGTAACCTGGACTCTTCCGTATCTTTGCCGGCTGCCATCAAATTCTATTGGTAGACCGCTCGCTCGGAGATCTCTAGAGCTTGCCAGCCCCAACCATCGTCTGGGATGGCTTGACTAGGAATGGAATGGTCGAGAGGCAAAAGATAGACATCATCAATACAATGTCGATGCTTGGATCCTGTTCGTTCTCAGTACACCAGCTTTATCAGCTGAGTAGTCATGTGTGGCAGTCAAGTTGCTTGGGCCAATGGCCCCCGCGTTTGATCGTTTGCACCTAACCATAGGTCCCCGGGATCGGATATCAGCAGACAATGCTGCTACATCTTCACGGTTGCAATATCAAACAATCATCCGTGATCCCTCAAGGTACTTGAAATCATAGCGACGATGGCTTAACGGTGTAGACTAAAGAAGGAAAAGTTTTCCCAATAGAGGATCGCGGGCAAAGAATATCGGCGGGTGGCAGCTCCCGTTTAACATCCAGTGGGGTACAGTATAGCATGAAAATGCGGGCATAGAAGTCCTGCAGCCGTTATCAGCTGTAGTGGACCGTGAACTTTTGGTCTTCCGTACACTCGAGGATTGCTGAGTTGCAGCCCGGAGTTTCCAGCCGTCGGGTAACCAGCAAGGAAATTGACCTCTCTAAGAATACGCTATGCACTGGGCTTTGTCAGTTTATCCTTGAAGAAGCAAAATATCTGGCCATTCGTCGAAACATACGAGGACAACTACGCTGTTCAACATTACATACCACAAACATCCGTCGGGCCCTTGCAGAAACGGCAAAAATCCCATCAAGATCCGGCGATAGCCATGAAGATCACCGTTAAACCATCGGGAGTGTCATATCCACGCGGTTCCTCACTGCTGGTAGGACGTTGATCAGTATGGCGGTGTACAACTCATAGACATCCTTCGGACCCAGAGCTGGGCTCTGGGGCTAGTATTTAAATGCGGGATGTTAGCCAACTCACACCATGAGAAACAGCTCATATCTTACCCCGTTGCCATCTGTTCCTTCATTGATCTCCAATATCTGCAGCATATCATCAAGCCCTTCAGACTTATAACCACATAACTTGTACCATCTTATACCCTCATCAAACCAGCTGCTGCCAATACTATCCTGTCAATTGACCTCCATGTTTACCGAACGGAGATATCGCGTCATGTATCGCGCTAATTTCGATTTCCTACCCGAGGACCTCCCTCTGCCGATTTGGGGCAGCTGCGAGGATATCGCACTAATTCCCAATTCCGTGCATGATCCACCTTCGCCTGGGATACCTCCTAATCCGCCACCAAGCCCTGCTTGATCATCAATTGTTCAAGGCTGGTGCTTTAAGGACAGCGCAAACTAGTAGAAGAGGTAAGTTTGTGCAGAAGCAATAACCTGTCCCAACGATGCTGAGTGAGGTTTGGCAGATCTGCAATGAAACTTGATGAGAAGGGGAAAACATCGCAGTGCACCATTGAAGCATCGATAGGTGAAGGCAATAAAAGGGGAATATTGCAGAGAATTGCGGACTGCCAGGCTCTCAAAATAAAGTCACAGGGGAAATGGGTATAGAGGCGTGGCGGATTGTTTTTGGTTCCATTGTTGTTTTTGTCCTTTTATGATTTTTGAGGAGTTCAGGGTGCAGAACGCACACTAGACAATGAGACGGCCAATTTTGCATGAGATCCATGATAGTCATGACCAGAAATCCCGTAGATCTCCAACCTCATGGCTTGGGGACATACCTATCCATTAAAGCCATCGCCCTACCTTCTCTTCAGGCAGTTATATGGCTCACGGCTATGGCATTAGTATCTGTTTCAATATCTCCTACATGCCGACAATTTCCACGGCTTGGGCAATGAGACGGAGCTCAGAGTTCGCGGTGAGAAGATGTGAAGTTTGATCCAAAAACAGTCGTCAATTGACTGGTATAAAATATATTGCACGAAAACAATTTTAAAACACAACAGGAATCAGAGGTATGTCACAATAGTTCACAGGAAAGCAAGAATAAGAGCGCTAAGAGTACTCAAACCCACCACAGTCCAGCCGGACTTGATGACCTGGGGGTTGGTAAGACCAGCACCAGTATCCCAAATCAGGTGGCGCACGCCGTTCATGCAGTGGTAGGTGAAAGGCAGGGCCATGGTAGTCTTCAGGGCAACCTTGGCGACAACAGGGAGAGCGGCGAAAGCGGCAGCGGCGGAGGCAGAGCCCAGATCCCAGCCGAGCATGGGAGAGGCGAGGTAGGCACTGGCATAGAGGTAGAGACTTCCGGACAGAGCAATACCGGTGATACGGTGGATACTACTGCCGATCCATGTGATCTGGGGACGGTAGATGCTAAGGTGGGGAGAGACGGGGCGGTTGAGACGCTGCTGGGCGAGGAGCTTGGTAGGGTCGGAGGAGTTGGAGGAGGTAGCAGCATGTCTGCATGACAACGTTAGCAACCCGTCTTCCGCCTCCACTTAGCGACATTCGCTTCATGACGTCGAATTCGATATCGCGAACCCCTCCCAAGTCGAAATAGTCGCAAATGAGAATCCCAATCACGCGTAGTAGCTTACCTAGTCTGAACGGTTCTTCCAAGAGCAACGGCAGCCGGAGAAACCGAGTTCATCAAAGACCAACGCAGAGCGTAGGGCTGCTGGACGGCAACTGCAACATTGAAGTCAGTGTCGCGCGATTAGCTGAAGAGGATGAAGTGAGTACGTACGCCGCCGCAACGATTGCTGAGCAACCTTCTGAGAGAGCATGATGAAATTGATGACCTCAAGAGATAGTGAGAGGCTGAATCGGGCACACGAAGCTGACCGTCGTCGTCGTAGTCGTCCAAGAAAGAAAGTGGCCTCGAACTGCCGACTCTCTCGTAACGCTTCGGAATCACGGGACGGACAACCTCGGGTTCACCTCCCAGTCACGGGACTTCACCCGATGCCCCAAAAACAGCCAATGAGCAGTCCTGCATTACCACTCGGAAGATCCATCTTCCATCTCCTCACCGCCCGCCAGTTCCGGCTTTTCAACTTTTGTGTGTTTCTCCCGTCGCTTTCTCTTCCTCTTCTTCTTTTTTCCTTCTCTCCCAAGGGTCTCCGCCCACGTTGTCTACCAGTCGGGATGATGTCGACGTGCTTAGCAGGGCCTCACTGGTCCGGCATTCTGTCGTGACCGCCGAGGTCAATGAGATACCTGAGAAGGAGCTGTCCCGTCGTTAATCGCCCATTCTTCTCTGTCCTATGAGATGGAAGGGTTTCATATCAGGGTTACATCACTTTAGGATTCGTTAAAGAATTCACGTAAAACTAGCATTTAAGCTCGTGTAAACCAAGCATGGAGACCATTTTGGAGTTTGGAACATGGCACTATAGCCGAGAATGTGGAAATTCTCCCAATAGGGAGACAGGGGTTGGTATTCCTGTTCATTCGTGTGCCCGCTACATTGCTTGCTCAGCAACTACTGAAGAGGTTGTGGGAGGTGTTGTACTGGACCAGCCATTGCCTCCTCTTGCTTCGGGGCTTGCTACTGCTGTTTCGGCTCGTTTTCGCAGCGAAGCCTTAGCAGGACAAGCCCCAAGCAGCTTCATCATCTGCTCCCAATGCAAACGTCAAAACATGACTCCGATGTGGTGCGAGTGCAGGATAAGACTGGCCAAACGAAAGCCCTACAAAGTGTAAGCTACTTGATAAGCGAGGGAAGGCCAGTCAATGCTTGCATGGTGCTCAGCAGGACCATCCATGAGGTCATCGCAGCGAGCCACGAAGCTCATTACGCCCATATGTACCTTCTTTAGTACTTGATCACCAATGCCATTTGTGGCCACTGCTTAACGGTCTGGTTGGAACAATAAGAACCGGGTGGATATCCATTTTGTAGTTGTGTCTCCTCCACTGAGAAGGCACCATTATCATAGCCTGGCACTACAGGCTGGGATACTTTGATTCCTAGAGTTGAAAGGCTTGCTGATGTGGTAGAAAGCTCTCGCCATCAAGTTCTCTTATTATATGACATGGAGATGTTCTGGGTCCTACAATAGGCAGGGGAATAGACAGCATATTTCGGTTCATAATTCGGTAACTGTTACCCAGACCCGAGACTCACTGGGGCGACAAATGGCCCGCCCACTCAGCAACACGGTAAAAGTTCTAACTACACTTCAGAAAATATACAGGAACTCTTCATGAATTTCCCAGATATTGTAACTATACGTCTGTTTTGTCAAGTTACTTCCCATTTCCCGAAGAGGCCTGATGTTCGAACTTGTAGCTAAGAGATAGTGTCAGTTTATATCGCCCGCATAGAAGAACACAATGAAGACGACGTATAGTAACCGAGTCTGAGTTGGTCTAATAGTGATTCCACTGTATCTGTAAAAAAGGCTCCAACGTAGCCAACCACATATTGTACTCCAAGCACCTTATGTGATTCATATAGCTTCTTGTTGTTTGGTGGTTTCGCCCAGGTAGCATTCGGTTAAGCCGGGGTAAATGCGGGGGAGTCCCGCAGCGATAGTACTCAATCACAATATCGACAATTCTACATTAGAGGAACATGACATAGTTTGGAGCATACAGAAAGAATGATTGCGCAATTCGGACTATAGAAATTGTTAAGGGTTTGAATCTACAAAAACAACGACGAAGCGCGCCCATACAACTATTAACTAGTATATATAGTGAATAACAAACTACAACCGTCGACAACCAATTTGCGACTTCTGGCAACCGATAAGCTCGGAAACCATGCAGTACTAAGGAACATCTACAATCAAGACTGGTGCACCTTCAATAGCTCTTAGCTGACAACTGCCGATCAGTATGTCTATCCTGGAGCTTGTTCTCGCCTTACTCAACATGACAGAAGGCTAATTAATTAGTGAAGGAACCTACGGACTTTCTCCGTAGGCATCGGCTTTCTCTCCCGACCAAACCTCCGTCCTTCTTGGTCGGAGACAAGAGACTCTCGGCCCGAAGGCGTCCAAAGAATAGTATGAAGCACTATTTAGGCTAAACATATGAGATGGCATGAGGGGAGGTTTACGAGGCATGCTTATCTGATCTTCCCCTCCTCTCCTCCATGCCCAGCCTATCTACTTCGTGTTCTTATTCAACCCCTTCGACTCTCCATTACCAAGATATCCAGCATTACTATCGAGATCATCAATCAATAACCCTTCATCAACAGTAAAGCGATCACCATGACCATCAAATCTGGACTCGACTACATCCGCTCTCGCTCCATTGTCGACTGCGACACCATGGACGAGCAAGGCACGTATCTCGCTTCCATGCACCTTTTACTATCTACTAATATAGAATCACAGTCGCCAAAACCCTTGGTCCCTTCCACGACTGCACCTCCAACCAGGTATATACATACAATCCACTGCACTCACCCCACCATACCACTCGGCTAACAACAACACCAGGCAATAGCCTACAACGAACTCATCAAGCCCGAACATGATGAGCTTCTCCACTCCTCTCTCACCCAAGCCAAAGCCCTCATTCAAGAATACCCCGGTCTAACCATCGAAGAACTTGCCATCGAGATAGCAGTGAGTATACCCTGCCCTTCTCTTCATCACCATCAACAAACACTACTAAATAACACATCTATAAAAAAAGATGATTTCCCTCTCCCTAAGAATCGCCCCCCACATCACCGGCCACATCCACATCCAAACAAACCCCTACTACTCATACTCCACCGAAAAGACCATCGTCAACGCCCTCCGTACGTGCATACATCTATCCCCTCTACATACAATACCCCACCTCTAACCGCAACAAAAACAGGCATAGTCAAACTAACCCACCGCCTCTCCCCCACCCACCCCCAATCCCACATCTGCATCAAAATCCCCAGCACCTGGGAGGGTCTCAAAGCATGCCAAGTACTCGAACAAGCCGGGGTCCGAACCCTAGCCACAACCCTTTTCACCATGCCTCAAGCCATCCTAGCAGCAGAAGTAGGATGCACGTACATAGCACCATACGTGAACCAACTGAGAGTCCATTTCGAGCCAGGGTAGATATACCCCCCAAATACCCACTATCAACAGAACCCACATAATCTATATACTAGTACTGACAGTTCATCACAGCTTCAAAGACCCCTCCCCCCTCCTCCACTTCAGCGCCCTAGCCCAGAAATATTACGCCTCCATCGGATCCCAAACACAGGTATTACCCGCTAGTCTGACGTCCACGAACGAGATCTTCGCGTTGGCGGGTGTACAGCACATTACTATCGCACCTGGATTATTGGAAGAGTTGGCCAAGCCGTTGGAGGGGAAGGTACCTGTGGAGTCGTTGTTTGATTCTCCTGCTGTGGTGGAGGGGGCTGTGCCGGGTAAGGAAGTGTCGTATGTGAATGATGAGTCTGGGTATCGGATTGCGTTTACGAGGGATGCGGGTGGGTTGAGTGAAGAGAAACTTACTCAGGTAAGCTATATGCTTTTGATATTGGGGGTAGTAGATGGATGGAGTAGAATATTTGAGTGGTTGATCTGTTGCTAATGGTTTATACTACTATCTAGGCTGTGAATATCTTCTGTGATATGCAAGACAAGTTGGTTCAGGTATTCAAGGGGTTGAATTGAGTAAGAGGAGGGTGGAAGTGAGATACTACTAGCTATGTAATTAAGGTTGGGCTTATAGGATATCCCTCTACACTCAAGTTCAAACCAGACATCTATCTATCCTAATAACCATTGTTCTCTTCTACCTACCTACCTACCTACTCCCATCAACCCCTCACCCGCTTTTGACTAAACCAAGTCAATAGAACGAACTTTCTAGTTACTTAATAATGATCTAGCCAGCCCACGAACCAAACAACCCACCCTCAATAAAGCAATTGAGCAAGCAAAGCAGCATACAGGCACGCAAACGGACTTGGGAGTCTGAGTCTGAAAACGCCTGCTCATGCAATATAGAATGCCATGCCAAGAATATAGGAAAAGGGGCAAAAAAAAAAATGAAACACTATATACCTTTTTTTTATCATCCTTAATTCCGAAACAGACAAGAGGCCGCATACAAATACTCAAGCAGAATAGAAATAAACAGATGGACAGGTAAGCAGAGAGGTAGGAGGACAAGAGGAATGTGTGTGGGTGTCGGCGATAAGAGCTTCAGTGTGTGTGGGTGAATGTCTTGTAAATGGTCACATGAGAACATCAGTCATCAAACCAAACCGTGGGGGAATCTAAGACTGAAACAAATGATCGGATGGGTAAAAAAAATGAAAATGTTAAGATAAGATGGAAAGACCACAACATCATGCGCTCAATCGCTGGATAAAGGACTGTCGAGAATGTTAGTAAATTTTAAGCGTTGAACACGTAGTTCGGATCACAACATACCGGGAAGAACTGCCGGAATCCCTTCATGTCCAGCCGGCCCAATGCTCCCACAAACTCCTCCACCAAGTCCGCTCCCATTCCCATTCCTGGCAGCTCGCGATCCCGCAAGTACTGGAGGTACTCCATTCCCGTCTTGGCGTATATCGTGCGCTGCAGACCTCCTGCTTCGGCGAGGACCTGCTTGGCCTGCGCATCCTTCGAGTTGAAGGACGGCGTTGCGGGCAGCGCCCAGCACAGAGGCGACAGCCGGGTAATCATGAACTGGCCAAATCCTGGCAGTGCTTGTTGCTGGGGTGCCGCGCCGTTCGCACCCTCCGGCGTGATGTCCGGTCCGCCCCAAGAGCTACCCATCTTCGACAGGACCGAGAACGCCATCTTAGCAGTGGTGAAGTCCTCAATATCCTTGGCGAAATGCTCAATAGTACCAATGACCGTTTCGAACATTGGTTGGTTCCCTAGTGTCGTCAGTTTGAATCCTACTAACAAAAACGATGCTACTTACGCTCGCTAATGATAACGGCTCCGAGCTCATTGTTCAGGACCGCGAGCAAAAAGTTGAGGTATTCCCGCTTCAGCTCTGCCAGCTGGACCTCATCATCCGTGCCGGTCGGGGCGTCTGCAATGCCAGAGAACACCCGCTGCAGGAATGGAGTCAAGAGAGCATCTAGAATAGAGTAGATCTCCGACTTGAAACCGAAGATGACTTGATCCAACAGTCGCAGGAACAGGGCCATCTCATCCCGGGAGGACGTCTGTGTGAGCAGACCGTCAATCCACCGCGGCAGCTGGGGCAGGATGCGTGATCCCAGCACGCCAATAAGGCGCGAAAATGCAAACCGCGCAGCTGTTCTGACGTTGAACGATGTCTTCAGTGACTCCAGCGCAACGAGAGTGGCCTCGGAAACCTGCATGAACGCTTCCGAGACTTCAGGAGCAGGCAGCGAAGCGGGAGAGCTGGTTCCCGGCATCCAGTCGGAGAAGCCTCTGGCAAGCGTCCCCAGTGCCATGATATCGTGGTGTATTTGCAGTAAGGCCCGTTCATCATTGGCCTTAGCCGGGGCCAGGTTCTTCTCCATATCCATAAAGACGGGGTTCAACACAGACTGTGCGTAGAGGACCTGCTTGTCCGCGGGAACAGTCGGGGTGGAGCAAATGATGCCCACAGCCTCGAACAGGTACAACTGGCTGTTAAAGACAGCATCGGCCGACCCCTCGTGGTCCTCCGAGGACATCTCATCGCCATCTGAGCCCTCAGTCGGCAACTCCGCGTTGATCACGAGCAAGTCGCCCAACGCCTCGACAACGGTCTGCGCCACGTTTCCAACATGGGTTCTGAGTTGCTTCACCAAGCGCTGGAAAAGGTACCACGACCGGGTCTTCACCTTCTTAAT